TCAAGAGAGGGAAACAGAGAGAGAGAGAGAGATCAAGAGAGAGAGAGAGAGAGAGAGAGAGAGAGAGAGTAATAGAGAAAAATGAAAAGAGAAAGATGAAAAGAGAAGTGATGAAAATAAACTTCATTTTTGGAAATCATACTTTTGTAGGAAAAACTGAATTTTAACTCGAAGTTAGAGTTACCACCTTCACCTTCATTTCTGGGAGTCGAATTGTTGTCATTATTAAAGGTTCGTCGTTACGAAAATATTTTGAAGACTTTTTTTAAAATAAGATTTTAAGGGTAACTATAAAATAAAAATTACAATATTTTCGGAAGGTGAAATGATAGTGCAATTCACCATCCCGTCAAATTATACTTCGATTCAGATGGGTTTATAAAAGGAATTGTGTTTATATTCAGCTGTACTATCTTTAAATTTTATTTCTCTGCCACTTACTCTTCTCCTCTCTTACTCTTTACTCTCTTAGTTTCTCTCTCTCTCCGGTTTTTTTCTGAACATCTCTCATGTTGGTCACTTATTCTAGTCTCTACAACTAACATATTTTTTTCTCTCCCCTCTTCCTATCACTTCTTTTTTTTTCGTTTGTATCAAAAATGAATAGTTAGTAAGTGTATGTTATATATATAATATATTACGGGCGAGAATATTAGAATTCACAAAAACTAAAATACTCTAAGTAAGTCGAAAAATATTAGTAAGTTCGTATGTAAGAAGTGTTGATAATCCACTAAAATCTCTGTTTAATTCTTTGAAAACATGTGACTTTAATGTAAAACTTATCATCCAAGTATATTCATTGAATTCAAATGTGAATTGTTCGTTTTTCACTAGAAATAGGTTGGAAAAAATATAATTTCAGTGACACATGTGTTTCATTGCCTTCTTATATATCTGTGCCTTTTACTCTGTAATGCATGGAAATATATGTTTTCTTTCCAAACCATTTTTTATTTAATTCTTGGGTTTTTCTCTTTTTTATTTCATTTTTGGTAATATATCCATGTCAATACCAATATGTATATCTTTCATTTCTCTATTTATAGATGAATTTAAGCAGGTCACTATCCACGATATTCCTCAAAAAGGTATTTTATATTGATACTTTAAAGCTAGCCATCACTAAAAGTGTTTATTCCAGGAATATCGATGTGTTCATTTCTCTGTTCTGTGTGACGTTATTATCTTAACATATATCACACAACATATGGCTATAACTCCTTTAGTTACGGCAATAATGCTCGATTTTTTCTTAATTTTCATGACAATAGCTGGTATCAACTATCAATCAGCACCTCTGTTTATGCCGAATATTGTCGTGAAAGTAATTCTTTATATTCTCTCTTTCTCACTCATCTATTTCCACTTTTTAAGAGTTTGCTAGACATTTTTCTAATACTATTGGGCTGCTCAACAATAGATGTGCCAACAACTGATTTGGTGGATTTAAACAGAAATGAATCTCAGGTTATTAAACATCATTTTTTTCCAAAAAGCCCATCATAAAACCCATCATGTTTACCTTTGCACACTTTTTTTGTTTAAAAAACAACCTTGTTTTACTGAAATTGCTTTATTTTCACAATAATAAAACACAATTTATTCGTAACCGTAAAGCGTATGCAACCGGATCCCGTCACTCAACAATCTAGAATGATCCCCGTTGCTTATTCATTTATGCTAATTTTTCAGATACCAATTTCTCCTTACACTAAATGGCAACGCCTGCTCATTGCATATCCTACCTTACCGTTATGGCTATTATTGTTTATTTTGTTATTGACAGTCCAAGTGAGGTATGCTTGCTATCGAAAGTATTGTGTTACAAACTGTTCGGTTAAGGTTTTTACTAGGACAATGGTATAGAACTGTCACACAGTCTAATAACGATACTGAAGATGTGAGTGAAGAACAAAAGGTGAATTTGAACCTATTTCACCAGCAAAATATAATTATTTGCAGAACCCTCCGTCTTATGACAACTGCATCGGGAATAACGAGAGTAATTCTTCTAGTTTGCCAAGTTACGAAGAAGCTTTGCAAAATAGAAATCCTGCACATTTAGCTGTTGGTAACTACAAAACTTCAATAACAGTTAAATGTGTATCAGAACAGACGTAATAATTAATAAATTCTTTGAAATCTCTCTCATAACTTGACCAACCTTCAACCTTGTGACAGAAAATTTTCTTGATATATTATTCTCTTCTGTTTTGTTCTCAAACGGTTTGACTGATAATAGTATAATAGAAAATGTAACAACAGAACCTCTCTGCTTAAAAAAATCCGGGGGAATACATCATATGACGTGATTGATAGAGAAGATTAAATTGTTCCCACTTTTTTCAATCGATCTCAAATATTTTGATTAGATAAAAAAAACCTTTCAATAAAGTCTTAGAGGAACGCCTAACTCGATTGAGCATTCTGTCATAGACCTTTGGTCTGTTTTCTTCCCAGTTTCAGTTATCACCAATTGTAATCGAGATCAGGGCTTCGAAACCGCATGATTTTCAAGAGTAAAACTTCAGTTCAATGTCGAAGGTAGTTCCTCTTTGGGGAACCTCCATGGAGCTCACTATCGCCACGCGCCTGGAACAATCAAACACCACTCAGTCATCTGTTCAATAAAGTTTTAAAAATTCAGTTTTACTTTTACTCTCACTCTCACTGCACCCCCGAGTTGATAAATGCTTGAGAACCAAAAGATTTTTATAAGATCTTATGCTCTCCTACAAGATCATAAAGCCTTTGGTCTACTCTTATAGAGAACACTAAGTGCACTTTAGTATAATTAATATAGGAAGATCGAAAACTTTGAACGATACTTCGAACTTGACTAATGATTGTCTTACCACTTTTTCGATTGATATTTCGCAAGAGCAGGTTCATTGATGCAATTGATGGATGAAAATTGTAATTAACTTTATCGTTTCTGATTATTTTCTGTCCACTAGAAGAAATATGAATTAGATGAGTGTCTACGAGTACATACTATCTCAGTCAGTTAATGAAGAAGTTTTATAAAAAGATGAGAATAAAAGACAAATCTCGAAAATATGAATGAGACAAGTTGAAGTATTTTCATCACGAGAAGCACCGAGCAAGATGAAGAGACTAATTGATTGCACAGTCAAACAATCAGTTCAATCATTGTGTGAATATCAATCACTATCACAAATGAAACCCTAGCCGTTTAAACATATCTTCCAAAATGGAAAATGGAATATAAAGCTATTTTCTGTACAAGTAATGTGAATATGCTTCGGAGAATTAGCAGACTTTTTTGGTCTTTGACTCGTTCTTGTCGGTCACCTTGTTCTGTTGAGCCTCCTGAACCAACAAACATTAAAAATAGATTTTGTATTGATTCAACCTTCTTTACTGATCCTAACGGATCAACGTGATCCTCATCTAATGGTTGAGCTTCGTTTCCGAAAAATCCATCGGACTTTGACATAGAAATCTTAAACATAGGTATACTTAGGCTTAAGAAACAAGGATAGTTTACAGTAAGATGTGTGTTGTGGTAGGTCAAGAATGATAATCCAGCAGTTAAGAAAACTTTCAGGACGATAGGAACTTTAGAATCTTGGACCAGCAAGAAATAAAGTAGATAAGACACAGGGAAATGTCTAAAAAGAAATAAAACTTTGTGAACAAAGTGAAATTGCTACCTGAAGACAAATAAGCAGAACATATTCGCATTGATAAGTAAGTCGTAAGACTTAGATCCTTTTTTGGTGTTGCCAATGAGTTTAACCATGGTGCGTAAATGCAAGAATATTGTTTGAACCTTATAATTAAAATAAGCGTTGAAGCTATTGACGATAAATACTCACTTCAACTAATAAACCGATCATTGCAAACCCAAAGAGTCTTCCAGTTCCGAGGATGATTGAGAAGGCTGTGATCACCTGTAAGCGGATGGCTTCAGCAGATTCAAATTATTTTCAAATACCAATGAATGATGTATAACGTATTCTTTAGAGTTTGGTAGTTCACCATGAATGAACATATCCAACAAGTCATAAATGAAATAGCCTTAAACAAAAACAATTTCATGAATTCACTTATGTATAAGTTACCCATAGAGAAGAGGAAGACGTATTCAGCAGAAGAAGTTTTGTAATCATACGGCTCTCTCACATAATTGGCGTCCAATAAAAGGCTAAAAGCTACTCATATGTAAAGCTCGAAAAGAATAAATGAACCTGGCCAAGCATCCAAGTGAGGAGATGAAAGCATGTGTGAATGACACAACCCGAACAGTAAAAATCCTTGACTGAAATATGACCAAAATAAAAGATTATTAGAAGAGAAGTGAAATATACCTTATTGGAACTCCATTCAGGCTGTCTTTTTCTCAGTATATGAGCAGCAATGCAGTACTCAACTCGTAAAAGCACACTCACAAATATACAAAAAAAGATATTCTTCATCCTGGAAAGCAGAATCAATAGATGAGAAAGAAACTAAAATAAAGGAGTGTCGTTGGACTCAAAGAAGACGAAGTTGTCACATCATTGATCAAAGGTGAAAACCTGTCTTTTCGTCAAGCAATGGTACGAAGAAGTTAAATAGAAGAAAAGGAACTGATCTACATACATATATGAAATGATCTGATAGGTTATGCGGAAGAAAAGGATGAGAAAGGAAAAGAGTATTTTATGCAATCAGGGGATTTTGAACAGCTGACATTCACGAAAAACCTGACCCGCATGTTAGTCTAAGCTAACACGTGACAATTCATCACAGGGAAGGACAATTGTTAGCTAGAAAACAGGAATAGAGATATAAGTTGCAGAAAATTAAGAAACATAAGCAAAAGATTGAAACAAAGCTCTGAACATTTTATATGAGAGAATCAGGTGACTTTTTCAATGGAAAATTAAACCTCAACAGTTAGACGTCAATATGAAAAGGGGTAATGTGTCATGAAGCATCTCGAAAATGTTTGATTTGCAGAGCGTGCTGTCTATCTTCAGGTGGGAATGATTCTTACTTATATAGACTACGTTTTCAAATATTATCAAAAAGGATCGCATCGACACATATATTATGAATAAAGTCCCAGCAGACGGCCGTTACTTTTACAATCTTTTCTCGGAGATGAGACATCAGTCCCTTCTCATACGAATTGTTTTCAAAAGAGGAATGATCCGAAACAGTAATAATTTGTGGAATTATGAATGATAAGACAGATTTCGAACCACATGTTCCTTTGACTATTTTTTTCAAACTAAGTAACGTTGATAACAGCAAAAAAGAGGAAAGATGAACGAAATATTAGTCCCAGGCAATATGACGGGAAGTTGCTGAAGCGGAGAGTCGTCTGATAAAACTTCGGCACCAATAGAAACAGTATCCGGTACATAAATGATAAGAAAAAAAGATTACAAGAGCAACCTGGTGATCGTTAAAAATAAGAAAAGGACAGGAGAAAGTATCGAAATTCGTAGAAAACGATTATTGAACGAACGAACAAGAATATTTTCAAACATTTTATTAGCACTTCGAAAACAATAACAACAATAACAATCGAGGTAACAAGTAAAAAAAACTTCTCACTGTCTCCAAAGTTTCATAACTTTGTCTTTTCCACCACTAGCAACTTTGGTACCTGAAGAGATGTTTAAATTTAGATTGAACAGAAAGTATTTTACCTTCTGGACTCCAATCAACAGTGAAAACTTCACTAGCATGTCCAGGTAAATCGTATGCAAGTCTCTTGGATCTCATGTCCCATACCTATCAGGTGATGTCAGTAATGATGAATTGAGCACACCATACCTTTAATGTTGAGTCTGCCGATCCAGATACTAGTAAGCGACTATCAGCTGACCAAGAAATTTGGTAAACCGCATTTACATGGCCTCTGGAAAAATTACAAAACATTACTCACATTCAACAGTTTTTCGGAATCACCTCAGAGAAGACAAATACTTTCCTGTTCTCCCACACCATAATTTGATGGATTTATCGAATGAAGCCGAAGCAATGAATCGAGTATCAGGTGAAAACATAACCTTGATTAGCAAATTAGAGACTTATTCACGGTTTATACTTACATGATTAACAAGCTGTTGGTGTCCCGTCATACGGGCTATTTGTTGTTTCGACTCAGCGGGATTCCATAAGAACATGGTGAAGTCATCAGATCCACTCACCTAAACAATAAACTTTCCAATACTGAATTATTTTGAGTTTACCAATCGTTCTCCTCCAGAAATTTTAATGGCTTCGTCGTAACGTCTTTGAGAGATTTTTTGGGCCTAAGCTAAAGCATACAAAAAAATTCATTAGAAGACTCCACCTCTTCTTTATTGGCAGGGCGTTTACATCCATCCTTGGCATCAAAACAACTCGTTCGTAAGCAGTAATCGGTATTCAATGCTAACGTGTTTATCCAATGAGCATGCCCATTAAGAGTACGGCACAATATTCCATCGCTTGCTCTCCATACCTTGACAGTACGATCCTAAAAAAAAACAATGGAACACACAGTGGAAACGTTCATACCTGAGAACCAGAATAGATTAATCCTTCACCTCCCCATCTGATACTGGTAACACTAGCAGTATGTCCTTCAATTGCTTCAAGATAGAACCCCACGATCATTTATTGGAAAATTACCTGTTAAAGATCTAACCACAGTGTGCGAAATTGTATCCCATATGAAAATGTTGCAGTCCTTTCCAGCACTAGCCAAGAACCTGCGGAATAGATGGTTGAGGTGAGTAGCTCAATGAAGCTGTACCTGCTCTCTTTATCGTTATGCATAGGTTGCCAAGCAAGATAAGTGACCCATTGCTTATGCCTGATCATAGGCTTTCCAATCTGGGTACCGGTTGCAGCATCCCACAGAATTATCTAAGAGAATATGTACATTTGAAACTGTTGCTAATCTTACCTGACCAGATTTGCAAGCTGAAGCAATCTTAGTACTATCTGGGGACCATGCTAAACATAAGACCCAATTACGATGACCTTTACAAGTAAATAAAGGAAGTTCTGTGTTAAGGTCCCATATCCTAACGGTTGTGTCCCCTGAACCAGAAGCAAGACCTCTGCATTACCATATTAAATTAGTTGAAGGTTTTATAAATACCTTCCGTCTGGACTAAATTGCGCTGATATCACGGGTTCGCCATGTCCTGGAATACTAGCCGAACATCTTGTAACAGGTGATACTCGGAAAACTGCTTGAGGTTGATATATCAAGCTTAAAGTCTTGAAAAGGATTAACAAAGCGTGTAGAAACTTAACAACCGAACCTTCTCGCTATCAATTTTCTCTACAGCTTTTTCAATAGTTTCACTTATTTCAACACCATCTTCTGTGAAAAATGCTATGGGCACAGGATCTTCACTTAAATTCAAATACTTAATCAAACATGTATCATAGTATACCTCGACTCCAGCAATTGATTGCACAGAATTTGTAATTGAGTAGATGTTACTGAAACAGGAAGCAGAATCCCAGCTCCACCCAACTCCTTCCCATCTTCTCCAACAAACCTCACAGATACTTGAGCGTTTTCTTGTTCCATTTCAATTAAACTTAATATTATTCACAGCTATTCCGAAATAATTCTATTATCATTGGGTCATATTTTATCGTTGGAGCATGCCTGCTTGGACTGACAGGAGAAGATCTACGCATTATTACTAAATGAGTATGTACCACGCATTCAGTTCAAGTCTTTGACTTCCGTTTGTAATTATTCATTTTTTTTTATTAGAATCATGTTGGCGGGAAATTATTCATTATTCATTCCAAGCTATGCGTCACGCACAAGAGGTTGCGGTTTTGCCCAGGCCTATTATTATTGTTGTTCCTATTCCTCCCAAATATTTTCCAATTTGTATTGAAATGATTTGTTTCTCGATGTTTGTAGATAGTTAGAACGTGAAGTCACATGGTAATGAACGAGCAGCAGTTTTATATGTCTTGAACTAATTTCTTCAGGTAATATTTCAAAATAGAAGTTAAAATGTCTGGAAAGAGCAAAGATTACCTAATTTGGACAGAAGTTGTTCAGGCGTTTTTATCAGCTCTCTCTGAACTTTTAATTGTTTTTCATTTTTCATTTACTAAATCTAATTTGAGAGTCCTCAAAGCTGAATGAGTTACTGTTTATTCTTCAAGATGCAAAAAGATGATTACGCCTTTCCTCCGTCACGGCGCCAATCGGTAAACATTCGATTAACCACTGAGATTATCAATTCCTAAATGAAAAAGGAGTGTTCGAAAGTTCATTTTTACGCAATAAGTTGCGAATAATATGAAACATTATCCCGCTAATCAGTTCATACGAAATCGTGTTGGATGCGAGAGTTTCCCCAGCTGACTGAAGCTTCAAACACGACTCGTGATTGTTGGAATTTGAAAAAAATGTCTCTCTTGTGCTCTTCGCTGCTTTGCTCCCTTAATTCATAATTCCCGCTACGCCCGCTCATTTAATGGGATAAAGTTTGAGTTCTGACTTTTCTTTTTCACGTACTTGACCACGATTTATGTACCGAAAGCCAAGGCTCTTGCATCAACTGTTAAACTTCATAGCCCACATTGGCGCCAAAACTCCCAAAGTTATGTTTGTTTTAGAGAAAGACGCCAGACGGTCAGAAGCATTTTGTACAATTCTGTGTGTACTTCTGTTGATATTAGATGGGTGTAAACCACGTGGTAAGTTTTGAATTCGTGATGCTCAAAGTGAAGACACCTTGAAGGTTTTGAAAAGCAAAAAAATGAGAGAAAGAATGACATTCTTTTATCTTTCTTACTTCCAGCATTCACATGAGTTGCAAAACCTCAAGGTAGTAGACAAACAGAACTATTTTCAGTTACTTCAATAAACTTTAACTCGCGTGCCTCACTCAGTCTTAAAGTAAATAGTTATGAACAAAAAATTGGAAGACTATCCGCGATAAAAGTATATGGGTTGTCGTCATTGAGTGTATAAAAAATGGAAGGGTTTTTCATGTGCACGTGCTCAGAGGAAAAGCATTGTTTCTGTGTGTTTGAACTAATCATGAGGTCGGTAGTAACTCCTCTCATGTGATTGTTATCCATAATCAAAGAGGGAAATAGTCAGGATGGACTAATACCACCTGTTCGATCGTTGTGGGAATTTTTGTTGATGAAAAGAGATGAGAGAATGTTTAGATGAGGAGTTGATGATTATTATTGTTGTTCCAAAGACACACCCAGATTTGAAATCTTCTGAGGTCACTCTGTCAATATTACTGCAATCTAAACACGATATTATTTCATTATCACCATCTATGATAGCAATTTTGCAAGTCGTAGAAGAAATGTGTCCAAAGATAAATGGTCTTCATGAACTTTTTATTTTTTTAGTTTTTTGAGCGTAGAGTGATATGCAAAACGTACAAGAAATCAATTTTTGCAGTAAGAGATACAAATACTTGTCAAAAATATCAATTTCATTCGCTATAAAAGGAAATCGGCAGAACACAGTTTGCAAAAAGAATCGTCAGACGAAGATGAGATATGCAGATTTTGAAAAAAAGTAAAAGACAAAACACAAAATACCCGAATAGTTATACATCCGTATCCTGAGATATAGTGAGAACGTTGCTAATAGATGACTACAGTTATATACAAGTTCTATAAGCTTCTAGTATATGACATTTAAAATTAACAATCGGCGCTATAAGATTGGCATTCGCAACGTGTGTGAGGAACTGGATTGGACTCCTCATCGTCCGTTGCATCGAACGACTCCCATTTTTTGGCGATTGATAGAATTTTGAAAGTATTGGAAATTCCATTAATTGGCTCAGTAACAGCTTTCTCTTTTTTGAGGGAAACTCTTCGAGAACTAACTGGTTCAGAGGAAGTACGAGAGACTGAAATAGAGACAACTAGAAAGAAATGGCAAATTTTGCAACGCACTGTCATCGCTTAAGCGTTTCGAGGAGCGTAGAACACTTCTTCGCATAGCTCCATAACCATTATTACTGGCTTTCGATGAGTACTTAAGACGAGAAACATAAAAATAAGAAAAAAAATTAAAAATCCAACCTGGTTAGCTATATTATATGATACAGACATTTCATATTGGGATCCCACGTCTTTATTATGATTTTCATCGATGGTTTCTGTACTTGAGCGATTCCGACTTGGCCAAATGAACCACTTGGGTCCCTGGCAAACTTCAATGACCTTAAAAAACAGAATTTGCGAGACTAGAAGCTAATTATTCTTCTAATAGAAGCTATTTCCGGGAGAGAGAGCAAATAGAACAACAATTGTATGACGTTTTCATGACGAAAAAAGATACATAGAGAAAGGAAAGAAGAAATTTTAAAAAAAATGGTCTTTATACTGACCTGGAAACGAAAATCTCGCTTGGGACGAACAGTTTGTTCGGATTTAGTGTGCTCAGACCATTGGAAACCATTATTATTATTATTCGTATTATTATTAACACAAACTTCCATCATTTTGTATGAATAGGATTAATGAACTCTGAAACATTTCGTATTCAAATTAGACCTCACAAAGATAATACATTCAGAAGAGAAATCACAATAATGCGTTATAAGATTTGTAAAAGTGTGACAGTGGGACGGCCGTCCGCTAGACTGGGGTCAATGGCTATGGCATCCTCCGGTGGGCGGGAACATTCGTCGTCACCGAGAGGCGGAACCATTCAAACGATAGTAGATGGATGAGAAGGGTCAGAACACACATGTGATCACTAGATCAAACAACAAAGGAAAAATTGAAAGTACGAGAACTTAAATGAGAAGTTATTGCAGGAATACCTAAGCTGGAAGTTCAAATCAACAAATAGCAGTAAATTTGTTCTGAACTATCCTAAGGGTGCCCAATGCGAACATTTTGCATATCGACGTCCTTCTGCACTTGGTGTATCAAACTGGCTTTTATTATTCGAAAGTTCATGATCCTTCAAAGAGTAAAAGAACAACGATTTGCGTCAATTTTGAGAATCAACAGTAAATGCATAGTGCAAGAAATTGTTTCATTCACATTCCGAATAGATTCAGAAGGAAAACAAGGAGGATTTGTTTGCTTTGTATCAAACAGGACAAGATGTCCGGGTTTTTCAAGAACTTCTGTCCACTAATGCTCATTTGGAAAACGTCAGCAGAAGAAGAAAAAAGATAAAAAAGGTTCGACAGCTGAATGCTTTCTTTTTCAGCAAGTCTGAGAAAAAGCTAGCGAAGTTAAGCAAAATCCATTTACTACGATGAGTTTGTCTCAAAAATTAAAAAAACGAACGTGACCGAAAAAGAGAAGGAAGCTCGAACAGATGTTAAGAGATGGGGGTGAAGGGGGTGGGGGCGAAAATGAGAGAGAAAGAGATCAATAGAAGGTTTCTTCTTTAATGAATAAAAGAAAGAGGATTTGATGATCAATACAAGGAAATTAATGCCAACGCGGCAAAAAAAGACGCACTGCCCCAACAGGAAAAATTAGCATATGTGACGATTGCAGTTGAAATGACGCCGGCATGAAAAAACACATGATAATATTGATTAGTTCTTTATAATGATTTTCTGATCAGATAGTTCGTTGGTCGTATTGAATCTTCATCGTCAATCATGTTCTTTCAGAAGAGGTGCTATATTAGGAAGTTCCAAAAATCAAACTGAAATGTCACATTTATAAATAACCAAGAAAACATCAAGAAGAAGTAAGCAAGACTTAATGAAGAAATCATTTATATCTATGTCTGACTCTAGCTTTTATGGCTCTCAAAAAAAGTGCCACTTTCTAACAACAAACTTGTGACAATAAATAAAAGTACAACTTTAAGTTTTGAAAAACCTAACAAAAAAAAAGATTTCAATCATCTTCGAGAATATAGTGAGTTCGACTAATAGATATTTCATCAACAACGTATTCCTTGCGCAACGGACATGAAAACTCCAAAAGATCCCCCTGATTGTGCTACCGTTTTACCAACCTGGAAAGAAATTAGTATTAGAATTCATAAACAGTGTTTTATCTAACAGCTTTCACTAATTCTTTCCCCCTGTACCCCATTCGTAAAGCCGAAAATCCTCCAATTAAAACTCCAGTTGCACCTCCAATCATGCATCCCATCATAAAACCCATTTTTATCTAAAAATTGTGAAAATAATTAAATGTTCTTCTGTCAATGAAAAAACCTTTTGAAAACAGGAAACAGGAGCACCTGGGGCACCAACTTGCGCGCCGACGGGAGGCATATCTATCTGGAAGAATATGGAACTTTAATTAGAAACGACTGGAGGTGTTAATCTGTAACAGAATGATGTCATTGAAAGAATTGAAGTCCTCGAATACTAGTATGATCGTTAACACATGTCTACAATAAGATGGGAAGTAGTCGCACATCGTGACAATTGTTTGTTTCAATCAGTAACTTGTACTTTCTGATTTCAAAGGAGAAATTAGAAAATGATTTTGTCAAGCACAACATTCTCTTTTCAGAACTGCTGAACATGTTCTGTGGAAGAAAGTATACGAAATAAAAACTACAGAAAGAAGCATATGTGAGAATAAGGAGTGCGTGATGAAATAATGGGAGTCTTGGCATTTCAAAAATGTCATATCACTTCACTACTTTCTCGATATTAAAAATAAAAAAAGAGAGAATAAGATCAAATAAACAGTAGGGAAAAGCATTCAATAAAAAAACAAAATAGAAATAAACATTCTACAACAAACTTTCAACATCAAGATTTTTTTGGTGTACGTAATTACGTATAGATTAATAATCGATATATATTATTATAAGATTTATTATGCAACAAAGGGCTTTCCAGCGATATTGAACCTGTAATCATCTTTAAATTCCAGCAAAAAATGAGCAAAAAAGTTTGAAAACTTTTATTGTAACTCGAAAAGTTTATAAAAAGTTGTCCTCCGCGATTGCCGTTCCTTTTCGAAAGTTTTTCCTTCGCTTTAATTATTCGGTATACGTTTTCTTGTACATGAGTTTTGCGCCTTCATCAACCTCAATGTTCCAAATTTTCTTTCTACTATTAGTTTGGTTAATAATCTGTTAACTTCAGAACTCATCCATGACTTAAAATCAATGGAAAACCCCACACAAAATAGGAATGATCCTGCAGCCACCAGATTGCAGAGGCGAAATAGAAATGTAGAAGACCTTGTTAGTCCGCTTCACACTGAATTTTGATGATTTACCTTATAGAATCAATTCGGAGCAGTCCGAGATCGTTTGTTCCACGCCATGCTTGTGAAACTAACGCTTGTGTACTGTGAAGTTGTGAATCCATTCTTCAGGAAGGTTTTCGAGTTTGTATCTCTCACTCTGGTTAGTTTCCTGCTTTAATTTCCTGAAATAAATAGCTGTTCTAGGCGTTAACAGTGCTATCATTTCTATTTTTCACACATATCATGTCCTCCCATGCTTCTCCAACCTGCATTAACGTTCTGAAAGGTAATTGGAAGAACGATGGTGAGTTTTCATTCAGTATGTCTTATAAGTTATCATACTCATTTGCAGGAGTCGTAAGAGTGGAAGTTGTGAAAAACCTGAAGTCATTAGATTATAAAGAAAGATGGATTTCATTCTATAGTCTGTGTTTGCCTCATGAACCTTCTGATTATCTTATTTAGAAAATGAAAGAAGTCGCATGCAGTGTCACTTCAATCCTAAGCAAGCATTAGTCCACGGCCCTGTTGCAATACCTGCCGAAATTCGGCATGGACCCTCTGCGAACGTACGAAATTAGTTTCTCCAGTTTAGATAATTTCGTTAATTAAGATAACAACTGGGGGTAGTACTGGATATAATAAAAGTAGAGTCAAAACATTGCTCAGTTATATTTTGAACCTCACCTCTAACATTTTCAGCTTTGATTTTTTTGATGATTATGAGGTTTTTCCGGAAATAAGCTCCTTTTTATTCGTTTCATTCAGGAAGAGGAATATACCGACACGTTAGACATAGACGCAGAAAAAGCATTCCTCGATCATTTTTTGCAAACTAAGAGTCTGTTTATATGACCCTTCATCAATTCTGAATTCTCGTTTCAGCTGAAAACGATCTACCTGCAATCATCTATCGCGCAGAATATGCACTACATTACGGGTTATTACGTTTGCCCAAGAGCTACAGAGATAAAAGAAGTATCCCTTTTCACGAATTGAAGGTTAAGCTTATTAAATCCCTTGAACATTCTCCACCTTTCAGATTGATTCTAATCATCAGTGTTTTGGCGATGCTACAATGATATTTACGCTTAACAAATTCATTGGTTTTGAAGAAGCTGTGATGACAGGTTTAAGAAGCTTAGCTGAAAATGAAACTACAGATGGTTAATTTACCCCTCTTTAATGAATGTGTATCTCGATTTTCCAGGATATCTCCATAATCTCAATACCGGAGAACACTATCATTTTGTTGGGAACACAATGACAAGGAAAAGCTATATAACAGCAGCTATAGTGATGTTCATTTTTGTAAGTTTTCGAAATGTTCTTCTCTACCCAATCTATCCATTTGAAGACTTTCGCCATTTCTCTACTCTTACGTTTCTCACATCATCAAATTTTTATGTTTATCGTTGATTTATTGCATATGTTTGAACTCAACCAACCGCTTGAGTTTCCAGCAGCCCCTCTGTTAACAGTGATTCTGGCTTTAGTCGGTGAGAACCTTTTTTCTTTTTAATCGAAATGAAATATTCAAGGAATGGAAGCCATCATGTCTGAAGTGTTCGCGGATACGACAACAGCGTTTTATGTTATTTTAGTTGGTAAGTGTTGTGGATCGTAAAACTTTCTGAGAGGCTCCTAATTTAGTTTGGATCGCTGACCAATTTGATGCTATTTGTTGTCATTCAGCAACGAGTAAACAGTACTGGCTTAGGTATTCGTTCCATATCCCGCTTTTAATTTCTATTCGTTTTTAGATTTTTCTTCTTATATCAGTTTTTCTTTTATGCGTATCAGTATAGATTCGGTGGGCAGTTCGGCAGTATAGCTTTTCTCGCATCCACGCTATTCATTATTGTTGGTGTTTTTTTTTGGATAATTCTCAGCTTCTTCTTTTCAGCATTCCATGATTTTCTTCTTTCATCATTACGAAGTCCCCCTTATACTTTATCAAGAACGTGTACTTCGAATCCTTTCCGAAATTCAATCTGTCCCTGTAAGTTTGAGAGCCAAGAGAGTCATAATTCAATTTTTTACTTTTCTCAAATCTTGCATTTTCCCTTTTCCTCCATTTCAGTCGGTTTTTGCCATTTCATTATTTGTTTTAGTAATCTCTGGGCTTCAATATTTTCTTCATTTTGTCTGGCAAGGCCGGAGAGTCCTGTTGTTCATTTCACATCGCTCATTACTCAGCAAAATTGTCGATATTCTTTAGTTACCCTCATATTCCCCTCTTCCCGTTTGAAAACATTCATTCTTTTTCTGTTGAAAATGATCAAAAATATTAAAAGTACTTCTATTACTTTTTTTTTCAGCCAATGGTTGTTCCTCCCAATCCGACGAACTCGACAACTCAGCGGACTACTCAAGAAACCCAAACAGCGGGTTCTACTGGTGAGAATGTTGAGGTAAGAACAGTTTTTCTAGTGGCTTTTATACTTTCTGCACAGAATAACTTGCCAGCTATGAATGAAACTGCTCAAAATGGGGAAGGAAATGATTTTATTCCTAACCAAGGTACTACTTGTTTCATGTATATAGAAAATGCTTTTACTTTCCAGATGCTGGTTCCGGGTCCGATATTGAGAATACTTCTACGGAAGAAAGGGTAGCCGAGAATGTCGTATCCGATGCTCTCGGGGAGGTTTTTAATTCATAATTGTGATGCTAATAGATATGGGTTTTTCATAGATTCTTAATATCTATAAATTCTATTCAGTAGTTTGTTTCCATGTATCTATGACTTTTAATGTACAAAATGGTTTCTTGGTATATATCTTCTTATTTTACTAACTTGTCTTTTTCGGCCCGCCTTCGTTAGAAACGGCCTTCTTCAAATTCCCAATGTCCATTTCCCGGATGCTTTGCATTGATTGCTGCTCGCTATTCTAGTTGTGTTATCTCATAATCAGAAATTTAATAAAAGAATTTATATAGCTTTTCTCTCAAACTTAATTTGTTCTCAACATTTATTTTTTCGTGCGTTGGTGTTATAAAATTGTTTTGAAGCAGGGAATGAGCTTACCTACTCCTCATTACCAATTAAACGCTATCCAACGACAATGCGTGTACCAACCAGCTGAAGACACTTTTCTTCTACTCGATGCCATTGAGAAGGACATTCAAGTTTTCTTTCTCTACTCTTCTTAAGTTTTACACATTTTTTTTAGAAACTCAAACAGATAGAGCCTTCTATTGTTTTGGAGATTGGGAGTGGAACTGGGGTTGTTTCAACTTTTGTTAACAAAGTATGTTGTACATTCCAAAGTCGAACTGCTTCTCGAAGCTTCGAATATAAATAAAAAAATAACTTAAGGAAGAATTTTTTGAAATTCGAGGGCTTTCGTAAAATAATGTTGGTCCTTTGGGAGACAGAGGCCTGCAAATATCCGTCTTTTGCATGTCGGTAGAAAGCCTTATGAGGGTTTCCACAAATTGTGTATAAATCTTAATAGAGTTTTCTATAGCCTGCACTTTCTTTGTTTCATTCTTTTCTCTGTCAATCATGAGGATAATGACGTTTTAGAAGAATATTTATTTTTTGTTTCTTTTGCGTTTCGATCAAATTTTTTCAGGCCTTGGATGGGAAGGTAGCATCGTTTGCTACCGATTTGAACATTAATGCTCTAGATTGCACAGTTGAAACTGGGAAACTCAATGGAGTTTCAATTGAAGTAGTTCAAACCGATTTATATGGCGGACTCGATCATTTGAATGTAGTTTTTAGTCCAAGTATACTCAGTTTATTATTGTTTTCAGAACAAAGTCGACATTCTTCTCTTCAACCCGCCTTATGTGCCCACGGAAGATTCACCCAAAGATCTCTATGTAAGTATGAAAATAAAGAACTTAACTCACAGCTGAAATCATTTAGGAACTATGTTGGGCTGGTGGTAAGGATGGCCGGGAGACATTAGATCGTCTATTGCCATCTATCACGAAACTATTATCTCCGAAGGGTGTTTTTTATCTTGTTGCTCTTCACGCAAACGGAATCGAACAACTACTCAACCACAATCCCAATCTGAAGGGTTCTTAAAACGCAACAAATCATCTCATTAATTTTTTTAAGGATCGATTGCGATGGAGAGAAGATGTGGAATCGAGCATTTGTATATATTGAAGTTTGTTCATATAGAGAAAAGTGTGTGAAATGTTATTCCTGTTGAAACAGAATGGTTCTCAGAGCTCATGATTAGAATTGATCAATCAATAAATGATGATATGCTAAAAATCTGTAACATTATCCATTTCTGCTTTTGCCTATGTCGATCTGGTTGCTTGTTATACGCTATTGAAACACTACTAAAACCGCGTAGTCTTTATAATTATTATTCAAAAATTTCTAATGTAAAAATGATTGCTAAACAAAGTAATAAAGTTTAAACTTTTGGGATACAAAAATGTATCATAAATTCTATTCTGTGCTGTCAGGCTCTATAATCTGCACGTGTAGTTTTCGTTTCTTCTTGCTGTTTCTGCAACAAAATCTTTGAAACTGATAAGAAACAGTTTCTTACCTTTTCCTTTCGACAGAGTGATTGGGCTCGTCATCATTATAGCCAAAATTCTCTACTACAATGGCAGAATTATCACCATCAGAGTGATCTACAATCATTTCGGAAGAACTTAATAAATGAGAGGCTTACTGAGATCTGCTAGGATGCAGGGATCAGATTTGCTTTCGGTCACGTTCGCATATGAACTTTCGAAGTCAGACTGACAGCTGAGAATCGTATCTTTTGTGAGCTAAAACTATAAATAAGTCCAAATAAACATCTGAAGAAATACAGGGGACGTTTCTTTTGATTCTGTGACGTTGTCATTTGCGTTTGGCAACAATTGTCCAGCGTGTACGTCTTGAATAGCTTGACGAAGCTAAATTTTGTTTAGAATCAAACTTGAATAGTTTTAAAAAGAGTGTACTTCTTTAAGTGCTACGACTCCAATCAGTCTTCCGCATTCTGTGACATATGCTCTATTCAACCCCAGAAGAGAAAAGATGGAGTGAACTTTCGTCAGACTCGTGTGTTCAACTAATTGAAAGGGAGCTGGATCAATATGGCAATTGGATAAATCTATTAAGTCATGTAGCATCTGTTCTTCCCACTCTCTTTTCTGAAGTTTAAAAAGTTCGAAAACATTTCCGGAAATATTTAATCACTTCTTCGCTATATAAGTCAAACTCTGTTTCCCTTTGGTAAGGTTTTGAAGTTCTTCCAAAGCTCATCTTTCCAATCGAACGGAACATCCCTGAAGATTTTTAATTCTATTATAATCAAAATAACAAACCCGATATCGTGTGATACGTATCTTCTTCGCCGTCTCGTTTGTTTCGCTTTTTACCCATCGCAAGGACGGTTTGCTGAAAAAATGTTCTAAATCAACATTTTGTTTTTATCTAACTGTGGCCGTTTCAGAAGGCACGGGCAACTTCTTTCCACTCTCAGTTTCTTTCCCATCATTGGCAGCAGGGATTATCACTGGTTCGACAGTAAATCGACTGAAATACCTCTCACTTCTAATTTGAAGTTGTTATGTACCTCGCCTTTTTCTTCGCAGGAACATCTAGAGAAAGAGCAATTGTTTCACTGTCATCAAATGCACTAGAATCCTGCGAGTTCTTCAAACGCTCGTCCAAATCATCTAGAGCATTTTTCACCCTTCTTCTAGCTTCTGCCTGTCGAGCGCGTCCTCCAACTTTTGTTTCCAACATTCGCACTAGTTGAAGCTTACTTATTGAACCGAGCAAAGTTTGACGATCTGAACAAACATGAGGAAAATAATAAGATCACTGCTTACTTTTGCTTTCAACCAAAGGAAACGCTTTAAGTTTAGGCATCGACAGAACAATATCTTGCAGATCCGCATAAGTTGAGTCTCGCGCAATGAACTTTACGGGAGATACCATGAAATGCTCTACGAGAATATTGTGGAATCTGAAGCAGGACTGAGAAAAATTTTGAAACGATACAAACATTGAAGTAGATCTGACAGGTATATCCGGTAGATAAGGTAAATGCTTGATGGTAATTATGGAGTCATATATAGATGATTGAAAGAAAGATGCAACAGCATTTGCCACAAGAACAGCTAACTGCAAATAAAGACTAGAATGGTAAAAGTAAACAGTTCGTTACCATAACAGGTAGTAATAGAACTAATTGACCAGTTAACTCGAACACAATCACAGCAATTGACACTGTATGAGTAGCAGCTCCAGTGAAGGCAGCTGCACCTAAATTGTTAAAATCAAGCATAGTTGCACATTTTACCCAACCTACTACACCATACACTCCAGGTCTGATCCAAACGTCAGGTCTTGATGGATCCAACCCGTTTGGATTAAAAAAAATTATCAATTCGCCTATAGTTCTTCCTAGAGAAGCTCCTAATATGAAAACAGACATAAAAATTCCGGTAGGCACAGGTAGCGTCGTAGCAATTATGGTTAAAAAAAACTGCAAGCATGTTACTGTATGAAATTTTCTCCACCCACTCACAAAAACAACTTGAAATATAACTAAAATAAGAAAGATATTGCTGCCCTGGTCTGGGCCTGTCCACTGTTTCATATCAATAGTATGATTAGAGGAGTTATAACATGAGTATTCATAGTGCGCAGGAAGTACCCATGAGCAATCAGCAATGAAATCTGATAGTGTTTCACCAAACTTCGTCTGTAGCATTAGAGAATAATAAGGAAAAAAAGAAAAAAGAAACCTCTCCTCCTAAATAGGAACCTAAGCCGAGAGGAAATGTAATAGATGATATAGAAAAAGATATGAAAATTGGATATAAAAGCCAGCTGAAATTTAGTATCTATAACACAGTTAAAACATGCAAACATACTGTTTCTGGAATAAGAACTGAGAGAACCGATTCTTACGAATAAATAATACAACTTTTCTATGAACGAATACGTACAGAGCTCCCAAAAACCCACAAACTAATCTGGAATCAAAAGTAAGTATAGAATATAATGTTTCAAGCGTTACCCGATACCAACAAAAACAGGCAACTCGTAGGGCCTAAACGAATCTTTTTCCGGAAAGTAAGTTTGATAATGAGCTTCGAAGGAAACTGCAAACAAACATTAACTCATGAAAAAAAAAACTCTTACGATCAAAAGTATCAGACTCTAGCTTTGCTTTGGAAATAAGTCTTAATAGTGCGAAGACTGTCGCACTCCAGGTAGCAGCAAAGAAACCTCTCCAATAATCTCGCACGGCGAAGTACACGGAAGTGACTTCGATAGAAAACAGAACACCTCAAATAATGAATCTTTCAGTATCTTTTAGGCTGCATTAATTTCTAACCTCCAACGGGAGCACTAAAGGTGCAAGCTACACCTACAGCGCATCCAGCAGCAAGCATTTCCGACGACTTCGACTCGTTCTCGAAAACTCCAGCAGCTCCCGAAGAGCAACGAGACAAGATGTTCGCAACTATAGATGCTATGTGAACAAATGGTCCCTGAGAAACTCTTTTATTTTATGAAAATTTGATAGTACTTCTTTTCCCATTGGCAATCCACTTCCCAATGATAGTGTAAGTGAAGACATCTTTGAGATCAGAGTTCGGAAGGACAAGTATTCTTTTAGTACAACACCTCTGAGAATAGTCTTCATTTCCGGTATTCCAGATCCTAAATAGCGAGAGATGAAAATCTCGTACTATTGGATTTTAAATGTTGATGATTACCTATTGCTTGAGGAGCAATATAATGGCAACACAAAGACGATAATGTTATCAATAGAACAACATAAACAACCCAAACGCAATAGGTGACAACTGTATGTTGAGATAGTTTCACACTATCATATAGTTGTGTATGATCTGAAAGCAGAAGAACTGAGTCAATTATTAATAGAAAAACTAACATATTTGTAGAATATCAATAGTAACATCCATCAGAGCGGAAAATACAGCCATTATTATACCCAACAGAGCCAAAGTTATCCAATCTTTTGAAGCTGACCAGAAAACGTAAAACGGCTTATCTGAAAAAGAAGTTTCATTTTGCTTACAGTTATTGATGGCTAATACTTTTGTACTTAGATGACGATATTTTAGGAGTGAGATCATTATAGAAAGGGAGAAACAAATCTGTCTAGAATATGTTAATAGCTATCAGTTTGGTCAAAAAGATTACGTATTCTGAAGATTTTTGTGCAGTACTGGATCGAGTTTTGGTGGCTTTAAATGTTCCCAATTGCTGAGAATTTACTAGATAAATATGAAAAAAATTGAATCTAAGCTTACAAAACTTCGTTCATAACTATAGCCAACAGTTTGTTGTTCGTTGAGAGAACTGAAATTCAAATCTTCACTCAATCCAATCTTCCGTTTAACATCCATTTGCCATCTGTAATGTTAAAAACTGTTTGAAGAAGAAGGCAGAAGACTCAATTTTTATTAAGGTAAAAATTGTGTTTCTCAACATTTTCGAAAATCACAAATGCTTAAAGATCTATGCTGCGAATCTTGTCAGAAACACTACGAGGCACTTCACTTGAAGAGATAAAGATATACAAACAATTATAAGAAGTATTTCAAACTGACAACGAATAATGAATAACAGAATTTATTGAGCATTAACTACAAAAAGGCTATTTTTTTCAAAAATTGTAAAACCAGTCCAACCCGTGCGCATACAAATCTGATCAAAGGAAGATTTCCAATTCATCCACGATGTCCCTCTAATGTTGATTCCGGAAAAATCTTCTCTTGAAAACATCGGAAAAAGCAGCTCCGTACTTTAAAATCATTGAAATAACAATCATACCATTCACATAGGATCGTTCAAAATAAATGCCTGAACACAACAAAAACTACCATCTGCTAACCACACTTACTCTTTCGGCTCTAAATAAAACCCAAGACGCATCACAACTTCAATTGAGTGAGAACTATTTGATCTTACTAACTAAGCATTTGAAAAGGTTAAAAAGTGTTTATTGAACTTCGAATTTTTTTCAATATGTCACTTCATTCACAAGTTTTAGTTCATCATTTGATTCCAACAAACAAAAGGTTAGAACTTTTCGGAAAAAAGAGCCACAGTTGCCGCCCAAGAACGTACATCAGCTTCTTTATTGTATTTCAGCGTTGGTAAATTGAAGGAATCAATATCTGAAAAATACTTAATTGATTTTCTTTATGACGTAATCAAACGAGGTTCTGTGAAGCCATGATAAGCATTTCCGTGTGATGTGAATGACCAATCAGCTTTACGGTCTCTCATTTCTTGTTGGAAATCAACAATCTTAAGAACGTTATTACCAGAAACATAGTCTACGATCTCCTACACTTTTTTGTGTAATATGGGAGTCCTCGGCACCATGGTGAACCTGAAAATAGAAAGTGAACAAAATCTGAGAAGAGTTCTGACCTGGAAAGTAGTAATTACTGCGTTGCGTTCATTATCTCCTAAAGGAGTTAAAGTCCCATGGTATGAGACAGCTGCAACAATCCCAGACCCATGTCTGCCTAAGTCCATCGCACATAGTCCACCAAAACAGTACCCTATGGCAGCAATCTTTTCAAAAAATTTGATTTCATAGTTATTCATTATACTTACTTTATCATCCAATACATTTTCAACCGATTTCAGAGCATTAAGTGAGCAGAACAATCTATCCTGAATGGAAACTTCAGATAAGTATTGAAAATGTTTCTGATAATGCAACACAAAGGTTTTGGTGTAAACGCAATACGACACTCAGCTGCGTACTACTCAGTTTCTTTCATGTTTCCTGTATTTTTCTCTCATTGACCGGTTTTATTCATTAGAAGAGAAATAAACTATTGCTATTGGTATTTTAACCCTTTTTAAGCATATCACCTTTAGCGTTGTTCCTCTTTCAGCTATCAATGGCTTCATGATACTAAAGTTCTCTTCGAAACTTTTCCCTCTTATTCCTTTACCATACACATCAGCGGCCAGAGCTATGTATCCCAACTTAAAATATGAAATTTCACTTCTTAGCCCGAAGTACTTACAAACCTCTGCTAATTTAGCAGCTCTGGAAGCTTCAAAATCGGTACAACCTGCGAAGGTATGGTAGACAAGTACACCGGGTGTTTTTCCAACGAGGTTTCTATCAAATATGGTAGCATGTATCCATCGAACAGAGTGGAAAAACTCACTTCGGTTTGCATAAAACACCTTCAAAAACGTTACCTCTGTCATCCTTATACTCAAAAGCAGTACGACAAACTTCGAAAACCATCCTCATAAACAAAACAGCTTTATAAAGCAAGATAATGGTGAAGATACAAATACAAGGTTGGTATGATAAGACCGATCAATAACTCTTCACAGAGTTGGATTAACGCTTTAATTTTCACATTTACACAATTCTAAATCAATCAGAGAACTCATAATCATTCGAAACATCATGAGTTCTCAGAAAAAATTTGAGTTATTAGAAAAAATCTATCTACTCGCATTTATACGGGTTGACATTCCACAGGAGGATCGAATTCACTGTTATCAGGAGTTTGAGGCGTCATACTATCATATCGATAGGATATTTGATAAACTCTCGAAATATTGGAGGACGTGAAATATGTGTCCCAGCCTAGAAGAGCTCCTGAAAGCAGTAGATTTGAATTTTGATTTTTTTAAGCGGACTTGATGAACCCGTGTAAGCATCAGCATAAGCTGTTACGAGAAAAGCATCCTGAGGAGTTCCTTCCATTATAACATCTGTTGGATCACCATTGTAAACATATGCTTTTTCATGATTATGAGTTACCTCCTGAAAAGAGTTCACATGAAACAAACTCATAACTCATCTATCCATGGTATCATCAAAAACATACAATGGCTGAATGTTCTTTTGTTAAATTGGCCAAACCCAAACGATCAATATATGTTTGGTAAGAAACTGTTCGGTCATCTTTGCAACTCTGTAAACTATGTTATTGAGAAAGATAAACCAAAACATTAGCAAACCACAACATCTCCATATTTATCATATCTGATCCAGTAAGCATGAGTTAGATAGCAAAAAACAGTTGTCATATTGTCTTTTTTATGAACTAATCTTTTGTTGACATTGTCTTGAATCCAGAATGAAGGATACACCTCAGGTTGCTACGTTTACAAATAATAAATAGCTATTAACTAACAAACCTCTAATGTATTGTTAGGGCTGTCAGGAGTTTTGAAAGTCACTGTATAAGTTCCATCCTTAACAGTATACTCATCGACATAAATGGAAAAGGTTGATGAGCTGTTGCGATAATGAGTACCATTGTTAACTCCTGATTCTCCTAAAATTTTCAAAAAAAGTGAAAGCTGGGGAGATCATTTCGGGCTACCTTTCTCAAAAGACCAAATGAGAGCACCTGAGCAGCATCCAAGAACAACAAGTATGACTGCAACTCGCACGAGAAAGCCTTTCAGTCTATTTTCAATTAAAAAAGACAATGGAATGCGACTGGTTACCTATCATTGCAATCAGCTATTTCTATAATCTCATAAGAAACATCGGAGTCGACACTAGCTGAGCGCTCCTTCGTTTCACTCATAATTGAAATATATAGTAAATTTTGGTTGAAAAGTAGAAATTAACAATTGAGCACACGGTGGCGGCTTCCGAAATTACTGATAAGAACACATTCTGATCAATCAGAACCCGACATGAAAGTTTCTCACTCTTCCTAACAGCTTAAAACTATTTCTTGACATTACTTTTCGAAATAATATTTATATTGGGAATTGAATGAGAAAACATACAACTCTGAATTATGGTTTGAAAACAGAAGTACGATAATATTTTAGTTCATTAATACTTTCCCGGATGTCATCCAGTGCTCTGTGAGTCATGGCTTTAGCCGGTGCTGATTTCAACTCGTGAGGATACCAACGACGAGAGAGCTGAAAGCATGGTTGATTATGAGCCATATACTCGAATATTCACTTCTTTTATGGTGCTTACGTCAACTAAACGATAATGAAAATGATTAGCTAAACGCGGCATGTATTTCTGAATGAAAAGCTTATCCATGTAAATGGAGTTTCCGGCAAGTGGGCATTGTCCTCTTTTAGTATGTTCTTCTACGAATGATAGCACCTAAGCATCACCGGGATGAAAAGACTTATCTGGAGTGAAGACTCTACCTGGTTCTCGGCTTCTTGCATGGAAACAGTGCTTGATTTTATTCTTTCCAATAAGCCGTTTTCAGCAAATGTTTTCTTGCACCAGTCATCCATAGCATCCAACGTTTTATCATCTTGATGAATGACAATGTTTGGTCCTTCAGATATTACCTTCAATTTGATAGATTTAAAATTTTCTGAAGATATAATCTACATTCAAATCAGCATCTGTTACAATAGCAGCGATTTCAACAAGCGTCTGTTTTTCGTAGTTCAATCCCGTCATCTCACAGTCGATCCATATCAAAGGAACTTTCGAATAGCTCATTCTTCTACAGCTGTTCAGAACCTTTAGCATAAACTAAAGAAGCTCCTGACAATATTTCTTTGGAAAATGGAAGATATGAATGAATAAAACCCATGTGTACAAACAAAAATTATTGTGAATAGCTTTATTATTAAATGTTAGATAAATGAGAGATCATTTCAGCATAACATGATATAATCGTAGTCAAACGATGGTGTGAGAAAATTTCTTTGTTACAATGTGTACAAAACTTCTAAAAATGTATACCTAATGATTAAGAACTTAAAAATTTGTAGTGATAGGCATACGGCCGGTTTCAAGTAGTGATTCGATTTGAGCTTTAGCTAGAGCGCGAGCATGATCCGGTAAAGTTCTTAGATCGGAAACAGCTGAGGCAGCAAAAGCACTATCCCCGTCAAGCAGTACATCACCTCCACTGGGGTTTCCTCCTTTCAAACAATAACCCAAACCGGAGCTATTAAACATTGGTATTAGATTTTGGAGTAATGAACTTACTCTGCTCTAACAATTTCTTCCATGTCGAAGTCTGAAAGAGACTCTGGTTCTTGCTTTCGTTTCACATGCCTAAAAGAGGTGCTATTCATTTCATTATGAGAATTGGAAGTACTGGGCCCGATCATCCAAATAAGGATCCATCCATGTCATATTGCTATATAAATCCCACGAACTTTCTTCAACTATTCCCCTTTCTCGTTGCTCCCGTAATCTTCTCTTTTCTCTTACGTATCGATCACGTAGCTTTTTCCATTGCTTATATATAGAGTTAACATCACCTGCGAGTATAAAGATATTGTGGTAAATCACCCTGCAAACTACCTGGATAATTGAGGTTCTTTATCACTTGATTCCACGCTTGATTCCTACATTCCGCATGGCGATACTTAGCATCTCTAATGTCAAACAGGCATGGGTGGGAATGAACTTCAGCAATCAGGCTTATGCCAAAATTAGGATCAGTGACAACAACTTGCTATAAACAATCATAAAGTCAATACAACTCTCAAAAACCAACCACTTCCTGATTCTCTTTCCGTGCAGGAGATCCATTACTTGATCTGTCAACCATATGCGGATCAAGAAAATGTAAATGCTTAAAGTACTGCCAAGTGCTTTGATCATTCTGATATCTCGCTTTTCTTTTCTCCTTTCCGTATCTAACCAATTACACAGTATAACGTACAGTACATAAACTTTTCTTACTTATCTCTCAACTGTTTCCAGCGTGCATATAATGTTCGGGCATCTCCTTCAAAGTTTAGAACTTGCACTAGCCTATTCCAAACCTGAAAGTTGAACAGTAAAATATAGAAACAAACATAATATCAAGCTCAAAAAATGAAGCAATCAATGAGTATATAATAACCAATCGTAAGCTTAAAACACGAAGTAGTGTTATGCACATAATAACAATAATAATATGATCACAGCTAACTTACTTTGCTTTTGTATTCTGAACTCCGATATTGACGATCAGTTGAATCATATAAGCATCTACTGTGTTTGACAGCCTCTATCAAACGCAAATTGAAAGTAGGTTCTACATGTTCTTCCAACCGGTATCCACTGGATCTGAATAAATATAAGCCGAAATACAGTGTAAGAGTTGCAACTTACAACATAGGGAATTGAATTGGCTTTTAGCTATTTTCAAGGAATTAATATAAGCTAGACAATACTCACCAAACTTGTTTTGAACAAATATAGTTCAACACGTGAAGCTCATGTATCTGTTTGGTATAAAAGCCTTGAAATCCGGCGCTCTAGTCGAACCCGTGACCGCGTTGCCGGTAGCGTTTGCAATTGTATGATGCGTCCTGTTTTTCGTGGCGGGACCAAATATATTATTGAAGCTCCTTAGTGACTGATTTCTAACTAACACAGTATTTCTACGATTTTTGTGGTCGGGGAGCACATTTCACCAGAGTTAGCATTGTTTTTTTTTGAAAACTCAAGAAGTAAATCATTATTAATACCAGGTTTTCATTAAATATCCAGCTGAAGTATTTTTATGGAGGTTACAGTTGAATCTTGTCAATAGTAAAAGTCATTCAAAGTTTTTGATTCATCTTATTTATTCTTATCGTATCGCTGTCATGTGTGTGTGGTTTTTTCAAATTGATATTATCATATCTTACAAACAGACAACACAACAGAATCGATTGCTATATTCAATCAAATCTATAGAGTCGTATTCATTCAGATGAAGTGAGCAATGCTTCTGTTCAAAAAACGTACCATATTCTCCCAACACTTAGGATTTTTTAGATGAAGAGCAACCGAAATAATGATAATTTAACTTTTATAGTGTTCAATTCTCTCTTCTTTACGAACTGGTAGGTGTCGTTCTACCATTCAGCTCTTAGGTCATCCTTTTGTAGTATTACTTCTTCATTATACCTCAGAAAAAAATAAGAGCCACCTCATAAATCGAATGTTTATTCACAAAGCCAATTCTTATTAGAATTATATCACAATGTAACAATGAAGATTTACTCAAACCGACCCATTTTGGTATGTGATAAGTGTAAGGAAGAATAGAAACATACAATTACAATTGTCCACTGAATATATTCTGTGCGAAATGTACGTAAAATAAAGCTAAAATGGAAAGCTCGAATGAATCACTGGACCAGATTTAGGTATGGAACCAATAGACTAGTAATAAAGTTTAAAGATTATGAATTAGTTGGAAAAAAATACATATCCACGTATCACTAATACTTTGTTATATAATATAATGAAATCAGATGATCTCAACTAAAGCAACCCTGGCTGGTCATGACAGTATGTCTCGAAAATGGTTAAATGTTTTTATCTAGCCAAAGTAGTGACTGCTGTCGCACCCGCTTTGAATGATACCTTCAATAGATTGATAAACTATCTTACAAAAAAAAGCTTTACCTGAAGTGACCGATTTCCTATCTGTGTTCCATTGAGAGCTGTTATAGCATTACAAGCATCCATATAGTTCATCATGGAAACAAAAGCGTAACCTTTACATTTCGCTGTTGAGAAATCTCTGGCTACCTGCAACAGAACCATTGGTACTGTAACTGAATGTAGGACTCACTTTAACACTTAATACAGCTCCGAAGGGACCAAATAACTGCCACAAAAGATTTTCTTCAGTTTCAGGGCTAAGATTATAAACAAACAAGGAATAGCCAGGCTCGGAAACGGAAGAGGGTGAAGTAGTAGCGGCAAGAGCGGCTAAGGGATTTTGTACCGCTGCCGCAGCTACATTAGAAAAATCTGAAAACTAAAAATTTTGGAAAAAACTGACGAAAATATTATTTACCATCACTCTGTTTAGCAATGCTCTCCGGATTCAAGTACATATAACCCGTACCAGCTAGCGCATTCATCTGCGTCATTTGTAGAAGAGCAGAAGTTGTTAGATAATCAGCTGTCGCTTGATTGGCAGCCACGCTTGGAGCTACTGCCGTTAAAGGTGAATATCTGGAATAATAAAATGTGAGATGTAGTGAATGACAGAATAAGATTATACAACCGCTCTACAGAATGAATCTATTAAAATGAAAGACTTAGACAAATCATTTGTACGCGAACATATGTTCACTTATGCTAATTACGCTTTTCTCGTAATGAGACATTTTAAATGATCGAAAGATTACCTATACTTAGCTGCTATTGGTGTATGATGGATCGGCCCAATAGTAGCAGTGCGTAATGGAGAAGCTCCTAATAACGTTAATGGTACAATGTTGGTTGCGGCAACTTGCTGTTGCACAGCTTCAAGCTGGAACAAATTAAATAAGAAGTCGGTTAGAACCCAAAACAACGAGTTACTTCTTGCAGAACACTTTTTGTACTGTTTGTGGCCGGGTTATTAGCGAACTTGACGGTAATTTGTTCTGTGCACCCAGTTGGCGTAGTGTTGTTGAGAGTGTTGATGGCATTTTCAGCTTCATTCTTCTTGTCAAATCGGACAAACCCAACACCTTTAGATAGACCTGAAAGATATAAACTATAATAAAGTCAGAAAACACAAAAATATTTCTGTTAGATTGTCCCTTTTCTTTTCAGATTGTTAACACTTAGGAAGAAAGCGTTTAGTACACCTTGTAGTCATATTACAACAACATTTGCCGGAATCTAGCTTGTGGAAACTGGGAAGAAAAAAATTTTTGGAGCGAACGGAAGCTGATGAGGTTCGTTCATGAACAGATGTTCGTAAAGTAAGAACATCTTTCAACAGATAATTACCTTGTATATCAATTTTCTTTTCTTCCGTGACTATAGCAGGGAAAGAAAACAAACTTATATTTCGCACGTGAAGATCCCGCCATCGAAAAAATATGAAATCCTTTCACATCCATTGCTTTTCTTTAGGAAAACAAAAGAACGGAAGAAGAAATAGAGTAAAGATGTTATATAATCATGTGAGTTATGGAAAAATAAAATACTTTAAAGGTGTTTTGTTTCCTCTTTTTCATAAAGAATTTTGTTTCCCATGTAAATACATGGAGAAAAGATTTCTTTCATACGAAACGAGAACATGAAACGATGCAACTCCATTCATAGTTTATAAGCAAGTTTTCAGGAAAACTTGATGATAAATTCATCTTCTACTCATCATTTTTCTTGCAGAAAAAACAATTCAACCAACTTTTTCCTCTCCCCCCCTTTCATCTCTTATGCTTTTTTTCTCTATTTCCAGCTTTAGTTCTCTATAGTCTACCTGTAACACTATCTGAGAGAATTCTCGAGGTTATAATTTGTCCGAATGGCCGGAAAATATTTTCCAGTTCTTGCAGAGTCATCGTTTTAGGTATTCCAGAAACATACAAGTTAGATCCCTTGATGTTGTCATTGCTAGGCCTAGCAAAAGAAACCTGAAAATATTTGTTTAGTTGAAATTCGAAACTTTTTTTTAACTTTTAAAATGAAATATATTTAACCGATAATTGTTAGTCAGATTCCGGAACAGAAAGTTTATATTTTCATGAAAAATTTTCCGTCTTTCACACAATTCTTCCATAGCTCATTTATCAAAACGGCTTTAATCGATTGTTTTCAGAAGAACTAAAGCCAGTTTACTGCTAATGTCCGGGGAAAGCATAATGAGAGTCTTTAGTCCTTTTGTGGCTAAAAACCATACGACTTCAACTCAAACTTTAACTCCTTAATACTTTTTTTTTCGAGTAAACATCTATTTGTTCATCTTTCGTGTTTCCCTCTTCCAGCTTCTCTTCTCTCATTCAATGATCATTTCAAACTTTACTTCAAGTTGCTCATTTCTTTTAGTTTTTTGATTCAAAGCTGCATCTTATCTTTTCCATGAATGACTTTTTTATTCCAGCATTGTAACGAAATAGCTTTGAATGTCTTACGCCTGTTAACGACTTTTTTCTCAAGAAAAAAAAAACTTCTGAAATCTGAACATTCTGTTTCTTCTTCATTCTCAGCTTTCTCGCACTCTAATATAACCTTTCTTTACTTTCAAAATTCATATTACGAATACAGTATAGTAGGTGGAGGTGTTGTCCGCCCGAACAGGACATTCTGTAATCCTATCCGAATGCAAATAATCGCCTTCCAGCACAATCATCCTTTTTACCTCTCATGTCATTTCTCTCCATCTCTTCTCTCTCGATCTTTTCTCCTTTTTGCTCTTTTCTAGTCAAACTCTTTATTTCCTCCTCCTTTATATTCACAAAATCCACTACAGAGTCTCAAAATCGATTCATATTAGCAAAATTTGAGAGCATATTTCTTCGGCCCTCAATTTTTTCACAATCAGGACATGAAGAGGAAAATGGTAATTTCGAAGAGAAGCTCATGAATAAATAGATTAACTATATTATTCATTCAGTTATGGTTTTGGGAGCACAAAAGAATGAAACCGATTGGAGGGTGAAATTGGGTAGTTTGTAATAGTAAATGTATGCCAAGTTTTGTTACTACTCAGCTTTGTGAACCGGAGATGAAATATTCTGGAGACCTAATTTGGTCATCCAACCTATATACCATAGAGAGCATAAAAAAGTTTTTGTTATAAGTTGAACAAAAGAAATTTATCTATATTTGGTTCCTTTCTTTGTGAATGAAAAAGAAGAAAGAAGAAGCAAAAGTCTTGAAAAGAATCTTCAGACTTCGATAATAATTGAATGAAAAGTTTCGAAGAGTATGACATAGTGGAATATTCGATGGGAACAGTTCAAAAAAGGAGGACGAGAATGGATGAAATCGAAAAGTTGGTGGAAAAAAGAATACATATGTATAGTTATGATATGTTATGCCTTTATGAGGCAACTTAAAAATTGTGCATAAACATCAAGACGTATAGCTGGATACGAACTTAAAATCCTTGATAGAAACATAGAGATAGACGATGAGTTCTATGAAGAGATGGAAAGAACAATTGAACAGGTAAAAAGCATAAATTAGTGTAAAACAAGAAAATAAGGAACACGCTTGCTAACTAAATATGACTTTACATCTAACATAGCTTTAACTCATTTCATTCCTCTACACAATTTGAGTAGTGAAAGAGAAATCGGTTCTCTTACTAAAGTTTTGATCTTAAGCACAATTTCCTTTGAATTGTTTTGTTTTTTTTGTTTTCAATATTTTTTTTTAAATTTTTGGACAGAGAACATGGACATCACCTTAATAGTCTTATTCTGCAGACGAAGTCCGTTGAAAGAAGACACAGCTTTCAATGCGTCGTCATCTCGAACATAGTTAACAAAACCATAACCAAGACTTTGGCCTAAAACCAGGTAAACGAAATAAATGATAAAACTAGCTAAAATCTGAAAAAAAAGAAAAAATAGGGAACATAGCAGATATGGTGAGATTATAGTTAAGAACATAATCTGATGGTATAGTTACAACATGTCTTCGTGGGTAGAATGGAAATAAAAGGACGAAAGGACATCTTCAGAGTAAAAGTGTATTTTGATTGGAAAAAACATAGAAGCAGACACACATTTACAACACACACACTACTACTATTTATGAAAATTTGTGCTCATGAAAATTTTGAAAAAAATGGGAAAAAGAGAGAAACGAAAAAGAAGAAAATGAAGACGAATAAGGAAAAGAAGAAGTAGCTGAGCATGAAGGAGAAAACAATAGAAATCGAGATTTCTGATGAGAAATTTATAGTTTTTGCTTCAACTCATTTATTTCGAACAGTGGTTTCCATACACTCTCGTCCATAAGCAATACCATCAATTACTTAATCGCTGAAGCCAGCTGAGCTTTTTAGTATGGCAATGGAGTATATTCATTGGCTTTTTATTTACTTTATTTCTCTTTTTCTCTCAATCCCCTGCCTACTTCTAGTTAAAGTTCCAGTTCGAAATGAATGATTATATATAATATATGCTTATATGGTATTTAGAGAAATCATATAATTAGTGAAATTTTCACCTAAAATTATATATTTCTTCGGTTTGTTACTTACTTTCCGCTATATTTTCGCTTTTGCTTGAGTACGCCAGAATGGTTTTTGAACTAAGCAGCTTCAAAGACTCACAAATTCATATGCAAAACAAGAAAGTGAGCGAATTTTGTCTAATTTTTTTCGAGAGAAAAGAAAAATTAAAACCATTCTGTTGAAAACTATATGGGTTAATACATAGACAGATATTATGCTTTAACTCGTTATCAAAAAACATCCATCATCTACATATGCTAGGAGAGAGTTAAATATCGAATGAAAATGAGCTTATATGGAATGAAATAAAGAACATGCAAATTATATATCTTGAATAGCATCATTACCTGTTATTTTATCACGCACAAGTTTACATGATTCTACTTCTCCAACGCTGGCAAACAGGGAGCGTACTTCTTCTTGGGTCATACCCTGTGGTAAGTAATTGATAATCAAATTTGTTTTTGATTCTCCAATTTCCACATTAGGTGTCGTAGAATAACGTTGCGTACTGGTATACGTCTATAATCATGTATATAATCAGCTGGTACTGTATAAATATTTTACTTCTGACATTTATTTAGATGATATACACACACACATGGCGAGTTTTGTTAAAGTTTGTCTTAATTTTCGTTTATGCAGCTGGCTGTGAAAGAAAAAAAAGATTTTGATGGAAATTTTCAATAATATTGATTAGTTTTCATGAGTGTTCACAAAAAAAAATTGAATAATCACGTCTGTCTCACGTAGCGTCACGCACAAAACTTCCATTTCTGTTTCAGAACTATCACGAGCGGTTGCTTTTAATTAAACTTTCTTTTTTTTCGAACTTCAAGGAACACTCAATAACACTGTAGTGTAATAGGATTCAACAAATTGTCAATGCGCTTACCGTACTGTTTATTGGAACATTATTATTATGATTAACCAGAACTTGACTATCCATTTGAGGTATTGCCTTGCTAATAAAGCTAGGTGAACCAATCCAAAAATATATTTTTTATATCAATATATATATATATATAAATATAAATATAAATATATAGATGGAGATAGCTGAAATATATTCGTTACTAACACATATATATATATATTATAATATTAAAAAGAACAAAAATAATAAAGGAAATATATGAAACGAGGGTCATTCAGTGCTGGCGAATAGGAACGTGAATGTCGAAGAGATGGAGAGAAATAGAGAAGAGCAAGAACGGGGCGGAGTTAAAGAGGAAAGAGAACAGAAGAAGAAGAAGAAGAAGAAGAAGAAGAAGAAAAAGAAAAACATCATGAATATAAAATTTAATTTTTAATTTCAAACCAGCTTTTTTCTGAAAAAACTTTCTGAATCAGTTGTCGCTGAGCTGTATGTGTATGTAAGCTTCAGTTTTCTTTTTTTTTTGGAAAGTTGAGCATCAGCAAGTCAAAGATGGCCAAAAAGGAATTTTTAATGAAAATGAAGGAAGTTCAGTCGTTTAACAGTCCAGTACACACTAAGAAATAACAATTCTGAAGAAATGCTCATGAAAATATCTGAAAGTGTTTTTTTTTCTTCAGAAAACATATTTATTCTTATAAATATGTATGAAGATGGAGTTACATTCGGCAAAATGATGTATGGACAGATAGAAAAATTGATAAAAAAAGGATGTTTTTTCCTATTTAAACGCTTATTGTTGGGATTAATGAAAAAATTCCTCCGGTACATTCATAGGTTGTATTCATCGAATGAAATTGTGAAGGGAAACGGGTAAAAAGCACATAGGATTGGCAAAAATAAAAAATTGTGGAAGGCAAAAAGGGAGAGAGAGAAAAGAATAATGAATGCATGTACATTTAGGGAGGGAAAGAGGGAAAGAGGGGAGACAAAAATGTAATGAAAACGAGAAAAATGAAATAGAGAGAAAGAGAGGGAGAGAGAAGGACGGAAGGAGGGACTTGGTTGAGAGAGAATGGAAAGCTGGGAGGAAAGTAATAGAGAGAGAAGAGAAGAGAAAGAGAGAGAAAAAGAAAGAGAGGCTGCAAATCAGGGCATAAAATTGAGTTAGAATATGAAAAGGTGGGGAGGAAATATCTATATATGGGTAAACCGGTAGCGGCTGGTAATTGAGAAATGGTTGGTCGGCCCTGTATTGTGTCGGTGTGTGTGTGAACAAGCGGCCACACAGTATATGAATTTATTAAGAAGAGAAGGAGGGAGTAGGGTAAGTCAGACAAATCAAAGAGAATGACATAGAGAGATAAAGAGAGAGAGAATGAATTGTAGAGATGAACACAATAGAATGTGACCTCCTAGTAAGACCCAAATATGGATCGTGCAGTTCATAAACGAAATGGAGGAGCACCGACTCGGGAAAGAATACATTAAGTGAAGAGTGCGCGCACATGCAATCCGATGACTATGGTTTTCTAATGCAACACACACAGTCAGAGAGAAAATGAAGTGCAGCTCTTTGAAACGAAATACTCCTTTTCAACTTTGAACTGAAATTAGTTGTAATGGCTTCAACAATGCTGAAAAGATACTTCGTTTCATGTGATTTCATGCATTCTTGTTGCTCAGAATGTAATTGATGGCTTCGAGTCTTATAAAAGCTTCTGAACATATGATTGTTGGTTGACAGAAGAAAAACAAATTCAAATACGATATTCTATAATTCTAAGTATTAGCGTGAGAACTAGATATTGTTTACCGTTTATAGAATATGTTATATGATAATAGGTTGATCATATGATGATTTTTCCTACCAAAATCGAGTTGAAACTCTTCATTAAAAGAAATATAGATAGACATGGAGGAAGCAGGAAAAGAGAGAGAGTTTCAAAGATTGGAATCAAAAGTACGAGGGAAATGTGTTAGCACCTCGTTAATCGAATAGTTCTATTAATTGTCCTGGAAATAGTAATATTGTTCAGGAAAATATTGCCAAGAAGTTCGCAGAGGCGACAATAGACAACCGTTCGTTACGTTCACGAAGTGAGAAATGAGTTTGCCCCCAGGGGTCAACTAGCTTTTTGAAAGTAAAAATGGAGTAGGAAAGACTGAAAGGTGACAAAAAGGCTAAGAGTAGATGCTGATTATTGATTAAAGTAGAATGAAAAAGAGAAGTAAGTTGGAGTAAAACAAGTCTTTTCGAATGGTCGGAGAACTGTTTTGAAGATAATTTCGAAGATATTTTACGATGGAAATAATAGAATCACGGATGAATGGTGATGTCTATTGTGAATTGTTTTAAAGCTAAAGAATCAAAATAGAGAGAAAGGGGGAGAAGCTTGAAAGAGAATAAGAGAGGGAAGAAGAAAGTGGTATAGTTCAATTGTTGGTTTGAGACAAGAATGTTTATCGTTGGAAATTGGAGAAGTGTGAGAAGCTTGTGCTTCTTTCGTCTTTTCTATTATCTAGCATTACATTTAAGGAATTCATTAACTTGAGCAAATTATTTAAAAGAAATAAATTAAAATTAACTAAATACATCCATAAAGAGGCTCTGTAAATTGGGTTGGTTTGGCTGTTGAGAAAGCTGCGCTGCGACATCAGTATGTGCTTTCATCAAGTCAATGCGACTTTTGGAAGCTGTATGTGTGTATGTATGTGTGTGTGTGTTGTGCTCACAGATAATTAAAAGCTATTGTTATTCCAGTTGAACAAGAAGAACGATGACTGCAAGAGCATTTGAAAAGAAGAAAAGACCTTTTCCAGTGAAAAAATTATCATAAATACGATAACTGAACGTCTTTTCACGTTTTACTTGAAGTAGTCTGCCCACCCTATCTAAGATTCTTCCTTAAACTTTTTCTTTCAAACATTTATAAAGAGTGAGAGTAAATGGTCTTTGAAGGAAGATGGGTGTGAATGAATTAAATAAACAACAATTGGAAGAGTTCATTCCCATCTTAAAAGCCTATTTAAGGTCTTATCTACTGACAGAAGCTAATTAGAAAGGCAAAAGCTTGTTCAAAACGCAAATTCTCCGGGGAATTGTTGACGAAGAAAAGGAAACGGTACAAGTTAACGTTTCTTATTTTAAATATTTCTATTTGCCAAAAAAATAAAGGAGAGAATCATATGAATATGGGATGGGAATGGATTATATATGAAGAACGAAGTCAATTAACATTCAACTTGAAGACATTGCCTCAATTATTTGAAATTGTAGTAATTATAGCTTCCCTCTATTTCAGCCTCTGTTCCTCTCTACTATCCTCTTCTTATTGGTGTCTCTCTTCTTTTTCTTTCTTTTAAAATGAAACATAAAAAAGATGTCAAGAAATAGACATTGCCACTTGAAAATGTTTATTTTTCAAATAAATTGAGATGTCCTCCAAGACAGGGATTAAGGAAGTTTACAGCATTTTCAAATATGAGTGTTTTATCCTTTTGAAGAAAAGAGAAGAACGCAGAAAAAAAACTAATTTATAACTACAAATTCAATTTTCGAAAGCCATTGCCGTCGCTAAGCTCAGAGAGCAATACAGACAAAAGACTAGAAGGTAAAACTAGCAGTTTGAATTCAATGAAATATTATAGTTAGAAGGACATGAAATGTATGAAATATGAGTCATTTTTCATATTTTTATCCTCTAAAAAATTTTTTTTTGTCCACATTCTTTATCCATATTTGTGAAGAAAATCAATGATGAAGTTTTGGGAAACAATGAGAGACTTGATGTCATTAAAAATCTTTTTTTTCTTATTTCTAAAAAAAAGTTCACAGAAATGATGTGAAGCTTTGAAATAGAGAAGATAAGGCTTTGAAAACTAGTTGTTAATTGATTTTTGTTTTATTTGGAAAGAGACGAAACTGTTTTTTCATTCAAGAATTGTATAGGTGTGACGAATATTGTAATGATGCCAGATGGCTTCTTCCAACATTTTTTGAGAAGCGAATGCGAGAAGGGTATGTTGACAGTATGAAGAGGGGGGTTTTATAGAGGGGAAAACGATATTCTAACAATAGGGAGGAAGACAACAGAGATACATGTAGAGAGACACACGGAAAATCCATAGAAGGTTTCGTGAGCAAAAGGACTGTCTCGTGGACAGGAAGGTTAGAATTGAAAAATTCCTGTTTATGACCACAACTATCTATAACAATCGCTTAAACGGATTTATATCCGTTAAATTCTCGTAAGTTTCACTACAAATACATACAAATGAAGTTTTACAGAGTGTTCTATTGAGTCTTTCATGGCATTCAAATAAAACATAAGAGGATGAGAAAAAAAGGAACACACAACGCAGAATTTGGAATTCCGATAGCTGAACGACGACTGTGAATGTCAGCCGTTTTCGCTGTTCTGATTCAAAAAGACTGAAACTGGTTCTTTGGACTTCAACTGTTGCCTAGGACCACCTCGTTTCCAATCCAGGCAATTTTGAATTTGAAATACAACCCTTTTCTCTCTCTCTCGCTGTTTCTCTCTCTGTTCGAATTGTCTTTCGATCAGCTCTCCATCTCTCTCTCTTTCTCGTCCTCTTTTTTTTTCACTTTCTTACTGCTAAAGCTGAATGACATTCATCGTTATCAAGATACTCCAATTATGAATAAAAAATATTTTAAAAATTCATGAAGAACACAGGTGCTTTCACCATTCAACAGGTGCTTTGCAAGCTGAATTCGAACATACGAAGAGACACAGCTAAGAGTTAAAGCGGGAATTAATTGGTTTTTCACCAAAATTCGAAATTTTAATGAAATGAATGAAGGAAAAAAGGAAATAATATTCAATTGTCTGAACAATATTATTATTATTATTAAAGAAAATTTTGAAAAAGAAAAATAATTTGTAAAGACAAGCTCAAAGATAGAAAAAGAGAGGGAAGATGAGAGAGAAAAAAAAATAGAGAGAGAGAGAAGGGAGCAACAGATGGCAAAAATGAAAAGTTGCTTCAATTGATGTCTTGACAAGAGACAAGCTCAAACCAAATGCAAAAAAGATTTGTTGCTT